AGCACTTCATCCCTTTGCTCAACTCTGTCCTTTTTCTGTTGTTTCTTCAATTCAGTCCTCTTTAGGGATTTTTTTCAAGGGCAATATTAACAATAGTTTAGAACAGATTCAAGCACAAAGGAAAGCCTTATAAATCACACATAGGGAACTAAGGCACATAAGAAAATCATCTTAAAATAAAAAGACAGAACATGTGAAAATCTCTAAATAGTTGTAAAATTTGATGATTTGCTAAATTTTGATTAAATATAGCTGTTGTGTATGGCTTTCAATCCTTAAGTTGTAACACAAAGTCCTTTTAATTAATGACTAAACGAAATAATTATATGTCTCATTCAAAAAATAAAAAATAAAAAATTTTGACAACAAAAAGGGAGGAAAGTATGAAGCACTCACAATGGAAACTCCTCACCTTCCGTGTTAACCTCATGACTTGCTGGTTAAATTTAATAAATAGTTTATTAACTATATAATTTATTTCAATTTAGTCTAGAAATAATTTTTTTTTTCATTCAATTACTTCTCTCCGCATCTTGCATTGATTTTTAATTTAATTCACTCATGTTAAACAATTCCTTACACACAGGCGCGAAAATTGGATTTATTTAGATTAGTGAAAATCACACAAGAGATTCACTTGAAAACAATTAAGATTGAATAGATAAGTATCTAAAGTTTTCACTAAGACCACTCCAACATGAAAGGCATAAAAACCAACCTCGAACAAATAACAATCATAGCAAACTAATCTTGAACAAATAACGATAATAACAGAACCTGCTCTAAAATTAAATATTTGGAGATTTCATTAATGGCAATAATTTTAGAATTTGAGTTTAAATTAAGGGCAAAGCTGGTAGTGAAGGATACTTATTTAGAATAATTCTTAAAATTAAGACTTGTAAGGATTGACTTTCTAACCCTCCTTAAATGGTAATTAGTTATTTTGAAACTATACAAAATTGTAATTATCACTAATATTTCATCTCTTGTTTGATTTAAATTAAGAGTTAGTTATCTTGTGGGATTTTAAGTGACTGTGATTTAAATAATTAAAATTTTAAGATACCAATAAGAATTGGCCAAATTGGTATCATTAAGTTTAAAAGTCTTGATTTAGGAATAAAGTTGTGAGTTTAAACGTTTACAATACTAAGTGATTAATATTTGATGCATAAAAATGAATATCTAATGTATAAAAAAAATAGAAAAGTGAAAATCATAATATCTTAACACTTTAAATGTTAAGATTTTTTATAAAATTATTTAAATATATTAATGAATTTTTTTATGTGTTAATTCATTAGCAGTATTTTAAGTTTTTCATTACCATCCTTGATATTTAAAATATCAAAATGTCTTAATTGTTTGCAATCCCTAAAAAAAATAAAATTCTAAGATAAAAAAAATAGATGAGTTACCCATCTAATGTAATGTAATTGGATTTTTATCCCCCCCCCCCTTTTTTTTTTTTGCCACCAATCTCCAGTGAGAAGGAAAAATTTAAATAAAAATAAAAAAATAAAAAAGAAAGGAAACGATGAGAAAAAGGTTGTTGGGTAAAACTTAAAATGTTTTAAAAGTAAAATTTTTTATCATAAATTTAAAATTTTATTAGAAAAAAATTCTAAAATTTACTTTTAAAGATGCATTTAAGTAAATTTTTAAAAAAATTAATGTATAATTTTATCCAAACTTGTTTAAAAATTACTTTAAAAGTTAATTTTTTACTTTTCTTTTTAAAAAATTTTAATTTTTAAGAGAAAATTTTAATTTTTAAGTAAATAATTATTAACCTGTGCCAAACATTCTTCAAGTTCGCTAGCACTTGCTCACTTGAGTTCTTTTCTTTCTCTCGTACATAGCGCGTGAGGATACTGCTAGTGTGATTTCTACATTGGGTTCCAATGCCAACAGATCTTAGAAAGGATTTGGCCATTTGGGATCTAAACCAATACAAATCTTCAAGAAGAATTTCAGTAGTGATTTGGAACACAGATCTTTTAAGGGTAATTTGTCTACAGATTATTGAGGGGGGTGAATTATCCCAATCCATGCTATTCGGAGTGGATGTATGTAGTAGGGTCGGTAGTCTAGACAAGACACAAACTTGAAGTGCAGTGGTTAAGCTTACCTAACAAGGCCAAGGTTGAGGATGCCCCACGAAGTATTGGGCCAAGCCTTCTCCTTAGCCTTCATCAACAGAACCCTAGCCCAAGCAACCCAGCCTCCCCATGATATCCTCTTGTCCCATGGGCTGCCCCACTCCAGCAAAAGGGTCACTGCCTTTTCAGCCGCCTTCTCAGCCTCCTCAAACCTTCCCTGGGACAGATAAACGTGGCCCAAAACCACATATGGCTCACCCACAAATGGGTTCTTTTCAATGGAACCCAAAAGCAACTCCTCTGTTTTCCCCAGCCTTCCCTGCGGATTACTCTCGCACACAGCTTCCCAGTACAAGTCTCGTGCTTCTATCTGATCCTTGGCGTCAACCACCTTGGTGCAGCCATCGAACACCGGCGGCACAACCAGTTCAAGATCCTCATCTCTGCCTTTATCAACTTCTATTCCACCAGTTCTCTTCCTCTCCTCCATAAAAATCTCCTCCTCCCTCACAATCAGCATGTAAATTGCACCCATCCTTGATGCCCAATTCAACCACAGCCCCGGCTTTCCGTCTCCAGGCCACAGAGCAGAACAGCCGTTCCCAGAAAAGTCAAGCCGGCCGTCGTGATTGTCGAACAGCTGATCCTGGAATCCGAATAGCTGATCGCTAAAATCCGCTATCGTCATCAAAAGAAAAATCGCCAGTATCCTTCTCGAAACGACAACGTCTTCACCCGTTTTTATATGCTTCACTGTGGTGCCGTTAGCAGGAACCAGAGTATTCAATTTCTTCCGCCAAATTTCCTCACTATTAAACAAGCCTTTTTCCTTCGCATTCTTCACCGAAACCTCCGAATGCTTGAGGTGTTCGACGAGTTCCGAATCAGAGTACTTGAACAGAAGATCGTCGTGGATGATTGGTTGCCGTGGAACGACACAGAACAAATGAATCAGACGCTCGGCGTCCACGCCAACATGGCCGCGAACGACGTCGCGTCCCGTGTTAGGATCAAATATGGCGAGATTGACGTAGGAGTTGGAGTAAGCGGAGTGAAAGAGGCCGCAGAGACAGACGGCCTCCGGCGCTTTCCAGATCTTGAGAATCCGATGTGTGTCCATCAAATGCTCAAGAAAGTTGCCGTGCTTGTGCCAGCACTCGCCAGCTCCGACCGAACGCAGGACGGCCACCTGACCAGGTAAGTTCTTGTCGACGGCCTCCAGCTCACCGCGGAGGAAGGGCCGCGCGGAGGCCAAGAGCGTTTGGAGGTAGTTGGACTGCGTGGAAGAGACGGAGGACGGCATGGTGCTCGCTTGGAACGGGATGCAATGACAATTAGTGCGATTGTGCGACGTGAAAAGAGAGAAATGGAATGGGGGAGTAGAAAAAGAAGATTGGAAGGGTAAAACGGTAATTTGAGTGTCAATGCGCATGCGTATCCGAATTTGATTCCTTTTGTCTCCTTACTGGTTAGAGAGGAAGAGATAAGGTTCTCACATGGTGTGTTTCATGATGAAGAAGATAAGAGTCGTACAACTTTTGTCCCCTCAGTACGAACTTCGTTTTTTTGGTTAAATTTCCATTTTGGTCATTTAACTTTGGCTTAATGCTACTAAAAGTTCTTAAACTTTATAAAAACAGTCATTTTCATTTTTCTACCTTAAAACAATTGATTGAAATCCCTCAACTTTGGAAAAAGAGCAATCATCATCCCTCCGTTAACTGCCGTTATAACGCCATCTATTTCTCGTTAAAATCCTTAAAGGTTTAATGGTAAGATAAAATTGTTGGTCCCTCAATTTTTTTTTATTAACTAAGGCAAGCATTTTCCATTAGCATGAAAGAACAATGTTGGTTCCTTAACTTTTAGTTCTTGTGCACTTTTATACTCAAACTTCAATATTTAAATTATTCAAATATTGATAAAATTAGGACTAAAATTATAAATTAAAATATATAAAATTCATTTAAATAAAATGAAAAATCAAATTTTTAATACTTAATTTAGGATTCTTAAAAATAAAGAAAGGACATTTAAATCTTTACATGCACATAATTCATCTAAAAATATGGAAGAAAAAGAAAAACAATGTGAATAAAAGGGTAAAATGAAGATAAGTTCTTTATTTTACAATTTAAATTGCATCAAATTGTAAAATAATCCAAATTATAAAATAAGAACCATTGGATAAATGGGGAAACCCCAATATCAAGGAACTTGCTCTCATTCAATGGTTAAAGAAATGTAGTTCAAAGCAATTGAATTGCAAAACATTTTTTTTCAAAAAAAGATATTTACTTTCATTTTCTTGTTATGCACTCATAACCATACAAACCACATTTGCCTTGCACTCGCAAATCATATCTATATCATCTGCAACTTCATCATTTTTGGTTGTAATACTTTACATGGTTTCAAATTAGGAATTAAAAAAATGATTTTGCATATTGACGATGTGAATTTTTAAGTACTTTAATTTATTACTTTGGCCTTACTTTTATTGGTTAAAGTATGTGTTTGGCCATTTACTTTATTAAATTTGAAGTTTTTAGCACTCAGTATGAAGTCTTTAGCCCCTAAAACTTAAAGATTTTAAGATTTTAACCCCTAAGGTTAATGGAATCCGTTAACTCTTCATTAAAATCAGAATAAAATATTTATAAAATTAGTTTTCAAAAATTAAAAATGTAACAATTTAGTTAAAAAAGTTTAAAAATTTAAAAATTAGTAAACTAAAAAGAATTAATGAATGGCTTTCTCACATACAGTAGAATAGTATTAGATATTTAGCTCAATTTGAAAAAGAATTCTAATTGAAATTAAAGAAAATTTATTGACTCATTCTTTTGGTCATTTGGACTTTTCGACTTTTTATTTTAATTTAGTCAAGAAATTTTCTTTAATTTAATCAAGAAATTTTCTTTAATTCTAGCTAAATTTCTTTCTTTAAATTGAACTAATCACTCAATTTGATCGTAGATATCTAATCCTATTTTTGTTTGTGTGGCAAATTCACCAATTAATTATTTTTAATTTACTTATTTTTTTAATTTTTAAACTTTTAGAACTAAATTATTACATTTTTAATTTTTGAGAATTGATTTTATAAATATTTTATTTTCACTTTAATATGGGGTTAATTGATTCCATTAGTTTAAGGATTAAAATCTTTAAATCGTTAAGTTCATGGGTTAAAAACTTTATAATATAAAATGAAAAGTTAAGTGTTTTAAACATAATAAAATAAGAAGCTAAATACATACTTTAGCTAATTTAATTAATACTTGAATGAGTCAAACATGATTTTATTAGAAATTACATGATTTTTATTATTTGTGTAAAAAGAAAAGAATTGATTGAAATGCATGAAATTAGAAATTTTTAAACTTAAATGTAACTATTTTAAATGTTTTGAAATTAAATTGTAATAAGAAAAATTAAAATTAGGGACCAAATTATAATCTAAAGTTGAGGATCAAAGTGCATAAGAAATAAAAATTAAGAGACGCAACATTGTTATTTTACGTTAAAATTTAGAGAATTTTAACTGTTGGCTGGATGACGTTATGAGCCCCGTCAACGAAAGGATAGTGGTTGGGTATTTCTCTAAACTTGAGGGATTTATATGAATTCTTTTAAGGTAGAGGAATGACAATGACTCCTTTTGTTAAGTTAGAGGATTTCTAGTGACATTAAGCCTTTAACTCTTGGGCACTTTAACTAAAAAAAAATCTGCTTTTTAGTCCCTTAAAATTGTTTTTGGGACCTTCTAAAAGCAAAAATTAAGTATAGTTAATTATGGCATTTGTAACTAATTTTATATAAATTTTTATAGTAAATTTGTTTTTTTTTTGTAATTTTTAATTACAAATACATTAATTAATAAATTTGATATAAAAAATTTATCTAAAATTAATTATAATATCTTAATCAATGAGAATTAATTTTTGTTCTAAGATATAAGTTAAACAAACCAATTTCTTTTTTAGGTCTTTTTTAGCCCATCAATTAAATTTTTGTTGATGGGGTAGTGTTAATTAATATTTAATAGAACAACCATAGTTTTTTAACATTTACTATATTAAAAATACATGTAATCAAATTATATAAAAATATTTTACAATCTAAATTATATTAAATTATAAAAAAAATTATCTTCTGATTTTTTACTGCACTTCAATATCGAGCGCTTTTCTAAGAGCTATAATTTTGTAGGTTCAGTACAATTTACGTTTTAAAATAAAATCGTGAACCAAATTGTTAAATTGTTGATGGGACAAAATTCTGTGGTTTTAGGCAAACTGAGCCCCACTATCTAATTGAATTTAAAGTAAGGAATTAAATAAATTAGAACATGATTAATTAACCACTTACGAGTACCAACTTTTAACTAATCAATCAACTTTAATTAAACAAATAGTTTTTTTTAACTTGCGCATGGAGTAAATACATTCTTTTAATAAGTTAATGTTAAAAAAGTTAATATTTAATTTATTAATTATTTAATTAAATTTATTTGTGTTTACTATTTAAAATTAATTTAATTTTTATATTTTTTTATAAAAAACTTAAAAAAAAAGGGATAATCTTAACCTGCTGATAGGTAAGAAAAACCTTTAACAAATGCACACAAAAAATAAAGAAAGAAAAAAAAAACACACACACACCCACACCCACACAATTTCTTCTTTCTTATAGCTTCTCTCGGAAAACCTACACTCATCTAGTTCTCACCAACCGAAAATTGAAAGATTTTTGGGTTTCCATCGGTCGTTCATGCCCAAGCCTACGATTTTCGTCGGTCCGACATTGGTTTGCCCCAAGCTGTCACCGTGGAACCTAATTGTTGTGCTAGCTTTCCGTCTCATCTCTTACCCTTGTTTTCTCCTTTTATGAAATCCCCATGTGTATTTTTGAACTCTTATTCAAATTTAAAATCCACCATTGCAGTTCTTGTCAATTAATCCCTCCGTCACTCCTCTCTCAAATTTTCTCACTTTCTCTCTATTCAATCTGGAAAATGTGATACAAAGGGAAGATGATTTGTAAAACAAAGAAAAGAAAAGAAGGAACCAGCAGCCACAAACAGCTCTACAATTGGTTTCTCAATTTGTCTCTTTTATTTTATACTGGATTGATGAAAATTGGAGATCTTGTTGTCTTGAATATATGGGTGATTTTTTTTTTTTTTTTTTTTTTGCTTTTGACATTGGGAGAACGGTTATGGTCACCTTATGCATATGTTAAAAATAATTAATATTTATAATTATTAGTTGATAGAATAATTAATATTTATTAATTAATAAATTAAAATTAATTTATAAATTAATATTTTTAAATATTATAATTATTGTACATTTATAAATTAATAAAATTAATTAAGACAAAAACAATTATTATATTATTTAGGTGATTTTAACAAAAAGTCTAAAAACTTACAACTTGAGGGATAGGATAAGATTGAACAATATAAGATTCAAACTATAGGATGAGATTGATTAGATTAGATTAAATTATATTAAATTAAATACTATATTTAGTTCATTACTTAGTAGATATAAATATTCATATGAATAGAGTATACCATTACAATTAATTAACTAATCTATTAAAATATTATTTTTTTAAATTTGAAAATTATATACTTTATAGAAAAAAAACAAATGGGTTCAATATGGAAGAATTTTAACAAGTCTAAGAAATGAGAAAAAGGGGTTTTTCTACTAGCATACATTAAGAGAATTTTTTATCATAAATATATTTTTAAAAATGTAAAATTTAATATTAATTTAATATTAATATTAAACAAATAAATTTAATTAATAAATTAAAAGAATAATGTCTTAAATCTTATATTAATAAAAAATTATAAATGAATGTAGTATATAAATATAAAAGTTAATTATTATAAATAATTTAATATTAAATTTTTAAGACTCATAAAACATGATCTAAAAACTTAAAAGGTGAATAACAAGCATTGTCTCCACTTGTTTTACTTGACATTAGAGTAGGCCTCGCACCCTGCTACCCCACTAACTGAATTCCTTTATGCATTTTGGAAATTCACCTAATCACACTTTAATAATATTTCTTGTGTAGTTGCACATTTTGTCTTTTCATGAGTCTTCTTCTTTTAGCCTTCAATCATTGACAATAAATTTACCCTTAAATAAGAAAAGATTTTTTTACCTTGTG